TCCATGAAAATAACACAGGTGAACACCTTGATTCCTCATCCAGATGCATTTTCCTTGGTTGCAAGAAGATCTTTCCGTTGATATTTTTGTGCAGTTGGGTGCAATATGCTGCGGGACACTGTTTTTGCTATTGGTTTCCACGAATCCACACCTTTTCTTCACCCACGCAGCTGCCTTTTTCCAGGCCAGCGTGGGGCAACGCGTTTCTACGGCAGAAGAAGCATGCAGAGGCATGTGTTTCCATGGGCCTTCATGGTTTACAACCTGAGCAGACGGCGGTGTTTTGCCAGTGGTTTCCACAAAAATTGCGCAGGTGAAGCATCTAAATTGTAAGCGCCTTGGGTTTCCTTGTTTTTGTTTCTCACCCGCTTGCTTCTCCTCAGAACAACTGTGCAAAGCTATTTTTTACAAAGTTTTACCCTTGGCCGCCATTGTGTGCGCCCGGAGCAGACGGCTGTGCGAGACGAGCCCACCTCTGTTTGCGTCGAGCATCGCTTGCCTTCTCTCAGCATTGGTGCCTTTCCCAGGCGATCGTGGAGCCAAAGCACTTCTACAACAGAAGAAGCGCGCAGAGGCATGCTTTGGACAAGTTTTACTGGCCTTCGTTGTTTGCACCCTGAATGTCTTTCGGTTGATAATTTTCATGTTTTGGTGTAGCTGGATGCTGTGGGAAGGTGTTTTTGCCATTGGTTTCCATGAAAATAACACAGGTGAACACCTTGATTCCTCATCCAGATGCTTTTCCTTGGTTCCTCATCCAGCTGTGTTTTACCAGGCGTGTGTGTGCGTGGCACAAGCGCATCTGGGGAAGAAGAAGCGTGCAGAGGCATGTTGTGGACAGTTTTACTTGCGATGCTTGCAGCTTGTGTGGGTGCAAAGGTCTTTCTGTTGTTGTTTCCCGCAGCTGGAAGCTTTGGGACTCTCTACCGATGATTTCCTGGCAGGGTGCACCATGGACGACATCGAGCTGCTTGAGGAAGGCTTGGTGCCTTGCAAGCTGGTCAAGCGATGGTCCGAGTGCAGTTGCGCATGGGATTTCCAAAACTGCTCTGCAATGGAGACGCCCGATACACGCGGTTTTCAAAGAGGCCCTTGGTCTGCATTTTGGTTTGAGTTGTTCACAAAGCCTGGCTGCTTCGAAAGGAGACGATAATAGACTTTTCTCAAGTTGTGAAGTGCTGAAGTCTGGATTGAAGCTTTTGGAGCCAACGCCAGCAATGTTAATGTCGGAGATTGGGTTGTAGAAATCATGTGGCTTCCAGGGGTCACATGTGATAGAGGCCTGGCTCTAAAGTCTTTCAACGCAGGACTCCGTGCTTGTGGAAAGCCGTGCTTGCAGCTGTCTCACAAGTACTCCTGATTCCAGAAGTGTTTTTTGCCATTGGTTTCCTGCAGAAAGAAACTTGCAAAGACAGCCTTTATAAACTTGACAAAGCTTGGTTGTTTTCTGGTGAGGAACCTGACGGCGGCGACGTCACCACTCAAGAACCCCTGTGATAAGCTGTCCGTCTTGTATTTGGAGCAATGCAGCAATGCAGGTTGCAACAGCTCCTCGAAGGCCCTCACGATTCCACAAATGTATTTTGCCATTGATTTCCCTCATAAGAAACCTGTAAAAACAACCTTTAACTCGACAAACTGTTTCCGAGTGAAGAACCTGACGGTGGTGGCCCAGCCTTGCGATAAACTGTCCGTTTTGCGTTTTCGGTGGCAGAAGCAGCCTCGTGCAGCAATGCGGTTTGCAATAGCTCCTCACAGGCCCTCTCTTGGCCTACATCACTTGTGGTGGGCGCTGTGCGCAGCTGGTGAACCGAAAAGATTTAGCCTTGGCAGTGGGAGCGCTGGTGTTGTCCTTTGGCAGTGGGAGTGCTGCTGTTGTGTTTTGGCAGCGCCACCACACTTTTCCGGAAATTGTTTTCAGAAACATGTGGCTCAGAACTTCCCTTAGCCTAAGCCTGTTTGAGGTTCCGTCTAAGGTCGGCTCCTGTCATGGCTTTGAAACAGGGACGGAACAGCTTGCTGTTTCCGCCTCACTTTTGCCTGCCGGCTTGAAAGAAGTGCCAAAGATTTGCTTGACCATCGGCAAATTTCTCAAGGTTGCTCCTGATGCTCCTGCGCCTGAAGGTCAAGCAGCCGACCAAGTTCCGAAGCGATGTGGACGCCCCAGGAAGGGCCAAGAGCTCAAAGTCGCGAAGCAGACTGGCTCCTTGGTGGCCAGCAATGCCGACGTGCGGAGGAGCAGATCCGCATTCTTCAGCATGACAGCGATGTGGATTGCATTCCCACCGCGCCCTTCCTTCGCCTCGTCAAAGAATCCTTGAGCAACTTGTCGACTATTTGGGCCGGTCGATGAGATCGAACTCCGGATTTCTTCCGCGGCTGTCAAAGTCCTAAAGGAGGCGGTGGAGGCAGGGGCCCAAAATTTTTTTAAAGGAGAAACAAGCATCCGGATTTTTGCACCACTAATGCGTTTGACAGCTGGCCAAAAATGCATTCGTACCCTGTGGAGTCATTTACATCTCAGGCCAAGGGACTGCAGTTCTTGGTGAGGTGCAGCATGCTGGCAGCGCATGCCAACCGGGTGACTATCTTGGACCGCGTCGCAAAGGCTTTGAAGAAGTTGGAAGGCATGAGCGCTTCGTCCGTCTGTGCTTCTAGCCGTTCTAACACGGCATTTGCATTGATGCAATCCGCATTTTCTTTCGAAGAGCTCGTGTTGAACCCCCCCACACCGCAACAGATAGATGACTTCTGGGAATTGTATTCCATGTTGCTGCCAACTCTGCGGTACACAGTGTGGCCTGACCCAGCTACCTTTGACCACATCCGGAGAAGCTACGCGCGCACAAGTGGCGAAGGATCACCGGTGATGCTGTGAGAGTGTGGCCCCGCCTCCTGGTGGGCTTGCTGCATGAAAATGCTCCAGGCTTGGGCACAAGCATTCCAGTGATAGCTGATCACATTGGGGCATTTCTTAAGCCGCTGCCATCGTTTCTGGTGCAACGGATGCCTGGCCGGGTTGAACAGATACCTTTTTCACCCCTCGGATCACACGAGAGCATTACTTGAGAGTATTTCACAAGATACCCAGACGCTTGAAAATAGAACTGCGCATGGAAGTGCAGTGAGAAGCACCTGTATATATTTACATGCGTTTGTTTCATGCCACATATGCAAGCTACTCTGGCTCTGGCTAAAGGAAAACGCAGTCAGCCCCTTTTTGTTTGTTTTTTGTTTTGTTTTGTTTATTTCATCAGGATGGATTGGACCGAATTGTGTCCCTTGTCCAACGCTGAACCCCGTGGTGGCAGCTGATGTTGCATTGGGGCCTGTGGCCACTCGTAAAGAATGCGACCTTGCTGCTGCTACTGCCACCGCCGCTGGAATAGCTGCTTCAGCCGTGCCTGGAACCATTGGAAAAACAGTTTTGATTGCAACGCTTTCTTGGGGCACTAGCTTTGTTGGAGGCCATTGCTTCTGGTTGGAGGCCATTGCAAGTAGCTTGAGGCCATGCTTCTAGGTTGGAGGCCATTCCTTCCAGGTTGGGGGCCATCGCTCTTCCATAAGGAGTTATCTCAAATTTTCGCAGCCCAGGAGCCATCTTTGAAGAGATGTCGGTTGAGCTCGCCTGGTTTGCATATGCTGCTGCCACAGTGCGGCGCCTTTCAGCCACAGCTCTTTGAGAACTTTGACCCGTGTCCAGGTGTGCTTGGGGCTCCGAACCATGGAGTGTTTCTCTCTTTGTATGGGGGCAGTTCCCGTGTGGCCAAATCTTGGCAAGAGATGGGTCGAGAGGCGATCGTGCTGGACACGGCGCACAATGCCGCCAACGACTTGGGAACAAGCGAGGCGCTTGATACGATTCTTCGGATGCTTCAAGCCACAGATCCTGATTGAAAAGCTTTAGTGGGACTGCTTGGGGTGGAGCTCCCTTGCAGTACCTGGAGCCTTTGCAGAGGGCGTGGACGGGGCCCACCTCGGTTGAGGGATTTGCGGCGCATTGATGGGCTTCCTGGCTTGGTCCCCACGAACTTGGAGGTGGCCCAGGCAAACGCCCAGATCAAGAACGCAGTGGGTTGGATTCGTTGCAGCTGCGCGCAAGGTGTTCCCGGATACTTGGAGAGCGGGCGCCGCAGTCTGATCTGGCATCATCCTTTGGCTTTGGAGCTCATTCAGGAGGGGCTTTGCTGGGTCTCTGTTCTAGATCAATGTCAATACGAGACAGAATACAGAAAGCGCACGCTTCTTCTGGTCTGGGGAGTTCCGGAGAATGCCATTAAGATGCAGGGCGCCCAGGGGAATCTGCAGCCGCACTGGCCTGGCACACCTGCACTTGGAGGGTGTTGACCAGAACGGACGTTTCAAGACCGCTGCAGCGCAGGTCTATCCTGTGAAGATGGCTCAGGCGATTGCAATGAAGTTTGCTGGGTATTGACTCTGAATTGTGTGAAAAAACAGTCGCGCGGAGTGCTGGCTCTATACATGTGCAACCCCTTCTATTTCAGACGGTATATTCTACTTGGTTGTCAGTCATCCGTTTTTGCTTCTGAACTAGGTAGGGCCCCACCATGCCCCACCTAAACGATATTTTTCGATTGAGACATGTGACGTAAAGAAACAACCTTAATGGGGCCCCTTCTTTTCAACATTGTTTTTGGTATTCATGTTGGGCATGCTTTATACTTCAAAAAATACAATATATATATATATATATATAGATAGATAGATACCAGCAGTCACGTTCGACGGGGTGCGATCCATGGAGGAAGTCGGGGTGCCCAGAACATCCACTCATTTTGGGACAACAAACCACCCAACTCCATGTGACTCCTGGTATATATAATTGTTTTTTAGGCACCTCCGACATCGGGAGCCAGACCAAACCTGATGAAGCCTCGCACACCTCGATGCACTCGTCGCTGCAGCGCGCGCGAAGGAAGCCGCAGAGCAGTATTCCATCGCGTTGCTGAGACTAAAGGACTTTCAGACCGGGAAGACCAGGAAGACCGGGTCAGAAAGCCATAAAACGGAAAAAATAGCAGTGAGTTCCTTAGTATTGCGTATGAATGATGTCAATTTTTCCTATGGTTCCCCCTTCTCGGAATTGGTTTTCTTATTCTTCCCGGTTCCTGGACACCAGATCCAAGGTTCAGATGGCGCAAAACCACTAGTTTCACTTTGAAATCCACTTCCATGTTAGTGAGTCAGAGTGTAAATCATTCAGACTGGTGGAATACTCGCTTCTGGCATGAAATATTACCCTTGTGGGAGCTTCCGAAGAAAGTTATTCCTTGGGTTTGTCCTATGATCATGTTTAGAGAAAGGCCTTTAGTTACCATCATCCACTCTTGCTGGTCTATAGTGGGATATAACTGGAAGTTGATTGACTTGTTGATTGATTGCCTGTATATTACAGAATACACCCAAGCCATTCCCTCCTTCCCCAAGCCTGAGCACTCGAAACCGGCCTCGGGTTTCCGACCGTCACCAAGGTTCCCACCGGTTCGCCGGTGAAACCGTCCGATGCGGACGGGTCGGTTCGAAGCGGTCGTCCGGTCGGACCTCGGTGGCACATCGGAGTGTTCGCCAAGCAGACTCAGGGTGATCACCATGCGTGTGTACCAGGGCCTAGGGGTCACAGACCTCATGAAGCTCCATGGAGTTGATGCAGAAAAAGGGTCGTGCTCAGGTACGAGTTCGACACGACCCAGGTTGTACTGGACCTGTGGTGTCATCACATGAGGGGGTTGAGGGCTTTCAGGGATGGCGATGCAGGTAGCATGTATATCAACCCTGTGGGTCAGAACGAGCCAGCTGGGGGCCAGGTGCTTCACCAAACCCACCAGGATCGCAGGATCGCCCCTTAGACACCACCAGGATGTTCTCCAGTTGGTCCCGCATCGCAGGAATTGGCCCAAGAGGTCCAAAGCGGAGAGTCTGTGACTCTGAAGGCCTTGTTGTTGGCCAACCGATCCCAGGCCCGGGGCGAAACCGATCCCAGGGATCGGACTCATCACCCAGGCCGTACCAGGAGAGGTTGAGAGACCTGAACGGGTCGGACCCTGGTCTGTGGTACATATGGGATGGGCGACCTTGGGGCTGTTCAACCTCTCTAGGTAGGGGATGGGTACCATCATGTACCATCTAATCCATGAACAGAGATGCGATCTCGATGTGTCGACCTTGCCCGTATTTTCAGGATTGCTATGTCCATTTGCCGACGTGAGGCCTAGCCTTCTGTTCGACTGCCCCGAAAAGAGATTTGGGGATGTCGATCGACCACCCACCTCCTGTGAATGGTAAAAGGTATTTTTGGGGTCTTTCCTTTTAAACCTGTAACAGTCATTGGACTAAATATACTCTTGGATGGTGCGAGTCTTTGGGTTTCTAGGGGATATGCAATTAATATACAATTAATATACCAGCACCTTCAAAGGGGTCACCTGGCTGGAAGCCCCAGCCCTTTTTCAGGTCCAGGTATACATGTTTACGTGCCTACTAATTGTATGGAACCGTCCAAAAATGGCACCAGTTCTTTACTGGAAGGTTTCTTCGTCTTGCATTGCATCCACACCAACTCGCCGGACCCATCCATGGTTCAGGCCAACTTGAAGCTGGAAGATTGGGTCCTTGGGCGACACCGAAACGGTTGAAGCGGCGAAACGGTGGGGAAAGCCATGGCCAGACCGGTCGGGCCTCACATGTACCAAACCGCAAGTGGCGCACGTGGCAAGCGCCACGTTTATGGCGTTCTTTTCGGTCAATGAAGGTCATGGTACGATGTTTCGATCGCCACGTGGTTTGGAGGAATTGCACACCATGTGTTGTGATAGTTTAGGAGCTGCACAGTGCCGTTCAAATCCTTATCCTGGTGTGGCTTAGGAAAAGGATGGAAAAGGTATTTTGTTCCTTTGAATTTTGAGTGAATCCCCTTCTGGCGAAGCATGCTTTTTTCCCCGGATCCTGGACAGAAAATTTGATCATAGCAGGAGACGTGATGTGGATTTTGTTGGAGCAAGACCTGATGGCTTTTGCATCACAAGACACCAAGTGAAAAATGAGGGTCGTCGATTGATATGCTTCGATACTCCATAGATTCCAGCACCCCAACTGGACGCCTGAAAGTGCACCGACTTGTGAACGCAGAGTCCAAACCCAGCTCGGATCCACCTTTGAAACGAAGGTACGGCTGGACCTGCCAAGTAAGCCATCAAAGTGTCGAGCACATCACCTGATGTCAGAGGGTCGGATCCAGGGTCAATCCACCGACCTACACGAGAACCGGTTTTGAGGCCTTGGAGTTGAAACCTGTCACGGGTGAGTGACGATCTGGAGTTCTCCCGGCGATGTCAGCCAAGTCGTGCAGGGTAGGAGTAGCTGGTGTGGCCGTTTTGGGCATAGTTCACTCATTTTAGCTCCATTGCAGTGGTTGAAAAGTGGATCAATGTATTTAGGTAATGTTGACTGTTGATAAAACCTCCCATATATTCCCATATCAAGAAGAGGTGTTACAATCCAAATGGGAGGGTTTAAGTATCAATCATAGATTCCAGTCCCACAGGTCTTGGCACAGCAAAAAAGTGGAGTTCAATGTTCCATGCGAGACGGGCTCGTCCGTTGGGAGTTCGTCTTGAAACGAGAGACATCTACCAGGACCTTCCAAGGGGTGCCCTGGCTGGGTTCGCCCCAGCCCACCACTCAGGGACCTCCAGACAGGACACCCCTTGAAGGTCCAGGTAGGTACATCCTCCAAGAAGTCCTCAGCCTTCCAAGATCAGGTCCGTCGCGGCAGTAGCCCCTTAGCCTTCCAATAGACCAGCTTTTGTAGGGTCCCTAGTCCGCAAAGCGATGGTTGTGGGGGGAATGTCCATTAAATCAAGAAGACCTAGGGAAATCTCTTGTTCCAAAAGCACCATGTTGGTGGATCTGTGGTGTCTATTCATAGCCCCTTAGTGGTTGGCCATTAACCACCCCGACCATGGGTCCTGGTACGTGTTTTATGGGCTTTGTCACGCAATTCCATAACCAAATGCCTCTCCAAGCCACGCATAGTTTTGAGGAGCAGGCTCTTGCGGATGCAGAGGCCTGCCTTGCCATTCAGCCGGACCACCCTAAGGCAGGGGATGGAGGGAGATCGTGCCACCAATGGAGCAATACATCTTCCTGACAATCAGTTTCCTGTTGATGGAGCTCCATGGGCCATTTTTTCTCCCATGAAGCTTCTGATTCTCCTCCAAAAGCATGGGGTCAAACTCCCCCCCAGGTGTCACCGCTGCTCCTCGCGCGCCCAACACACGCCCTGCACGCCCGCCCCCGCGAGGCCTTGCACCGCCGCAGCGTGGCCAAGGAGGCGCTGGACCGCGCGGCGCAACGCCGGAGCCACGGAGAGGCGCGGTGGGTCCAGACGCGCGACCTCCGGGCCGGACCCCCAGTGCCGGACCAGCTGGAGGCGGTTTCTGAGAGGTGTTTTGCATGGTTTTGCTGCCGATGTGGAACCCATATGGAACCCATGGGTAGACGCAAAGCTACTGGTTTCCAAGGTGGGTTCGGTGTTTTGGGGGGAGTCCTTCTTGGGGTGCGTGACCTTCTAGATGACCAGAGTGCATGTTCCGTACCTTTGGGGGCAGGTGTTCGAGCTACTACCGATTCGAAGTTGTGGTTCACTTCGGCTTTCGCTTAAGCCTTTAAGCTTTACTTAGGTGCGATGCTTCTTGACGCATGACTGGTCGGTTGAGGTCAATCGAACGCACGACACATGGACCATAGGCACATGTCACAGACGTAGCCGATGCGAATGAACGCTGACCTATCCCTATCGCTACTAGGAGCAAGGGCGCTACTAGGGGCTCCTGGCCTTGCTACTAGGAACAAGCAGATACTAGGGGCTCCTGGCATCGCTAGAGCAAGGACGCTAGTAGGGGCTCCTGGTTTGCCTAGTTTTTAATATGTTCTAATGTTCATGAATGTGAATCCCCAGACCTCGGGAAGATGCTTCTACTGGGGCGTCCTGGCAGAAGGGTTCTGAACTCCGGGGACAGGAGTGTCTTCTTTCGTCCAGAAACACTTTCCATTCCCCGAGCGTTCCACAGGCGCTCAAGCAAGCGCTCTTTTGCCCGGGGACCTGGAAAGTGCGCAGCGCTTCAGGGCGGGTGATGCTGATTTTCTTCCGATTCGGAATCGGTGTTGGGTGGAAACAAGGGAAGGCCGACGAGCAAGGGAATAGCAATCACACATGTGGGAGAGTGCCGTGTTTGGCCTAACCTTGCAAGAACCAAATGCAAACAGCTTCTATAGACTACGTGGACGACTATAGACGATGTGTTTGAATTGAGATAAACCTTCCAGCACCTTCAAAGGGGTCTCCATTGGACACCCCTTCGAAGGTCTAGGTTGCAAGAGTTTCCTTTACAAGTCACCTTCTGAAAAGAGCAGCCTTCGGAATCTGCAGTTTGGGGACGGTAAAATGTGGAGTCCCATAGATATCATAGATCAGAGCTTTGCAGTCCAGACTCCGTCCTGTATGAACTGGATCATGAGCTCTAATGACCCAGTGCCTGCATGAAAAACATTATGTAGAAGCAGAAGGTCTAGAGATCTAGACGCATTGGGCTCCAGAGAGAGAGGTGATGGTGGTGATGACTGTGGAGATCGTGGTGATGGTGGTGGTGATGGTGGTGGTGGTGGTGGTGGTATGAAAACTCGAAACCGTTTGTGAACAATGGTTGAACAGGGAACCAAAACAAACTGTTCTCGTGAACCCCGAACTCGCGAAGGCGGGGTGCGAAGTTTTCACACTTGAGCCGTGAGAGTTGGTCAACGAACTTGGTGCACTTCTCAGCTTGAAGTGTGGCATATCATGAAGTACACTTCTAATTTAAAGTGTGTGTCATCCACTTCTCGAGATGAGCACTGTGCCAAAAATCCGGAATGGAGTCCAAACAGCATCATGTCAACAGGCCTTTGCATGAGAGTGAAACCATGGTTGTCTAAGAGTGTACATGAGGCTTGTGTATTCACACCCCCGCTCAACCATGTATTCCGATCAACAATAAAACATCCTCGGGACTATTTCTGGAGAATAGGCAGCTATAGCAAATTGCTCATCACTACACATCATACATTCAAGGCTCTATGACTTAGTTGCACTGCTCACACAGTGACATGGCGCGATTCGTCGGAATCTACTAGCATTCATCTCGCTTACGCACGTGCCGTGGAAACTCCAACCCGAAAACTTTGTCTTGACCTGGTCGTTTCACTGTGATGTGGACAGGCTTGTCCTCGCTCGAACCGGCTTTCCCTGAGTCTTGATCTGTGTCACCATCTTCATGGATTGTCACCTCCGCACTCACTGGTGAAGGAGGATCCACGTGAACCATGATTTGGGGTGCCATGGATCAAACAAGGAAGGGATCGCAAAGCAAGCTCAAAAAAATGCACACAACTATCATGCAAAAATATCAGATTGTCTCCAACTTATTGGATTTATGTCCCCGGCGTCCATGTGTATTCAAGATTTTCCCTATGTCCTGATTTCACAATATCGAATTCTACACTGCAAGTTCTGGCACGTCCTCATGCCGCATCTGAGCGAATGGTCCTGAACCACTCCATATGAGCTTCAGCGCAAGACGGAATGGATACTCGGCCAAAATGATTCGGTTCTTGCATGTGCATGGTTCTGTCGTGGGTGGAGTCTTGCTACTCACAACTTTAAACACATGTTTTGCTCGAGTCTCATTCCCTGTTTCGTACCTGCACCTATTCAACAAGACACACTGAACCAAACCTGCTTCCTGACAGACCGTCTGCACCAGGTTGCTATTCCAAGAACGTACAGGCTTTGGAGTTTTCTAGGCGTCTCACGTGACAACGCATCAGGATACCTTTGGAATGCTCTAGCAAATCTTTACAACTGCGATGCAACCTAAGCGGTCATTCCGCCGATGTTTGTGCTACCTGGCACACGGTTCAATAACTACAAGCCACTCACTGACTTGATCCTGCAGCTGGTGGGGAACATTTTTTATGATCTTTATCACACAGGATTTGAAGTACAAGGTGAGCGCTACTTCTGCTCAGTCGTGGGTCAGAAGGGGAGACTTTAAGTGGCACAGTAAATTGGCCAAGCTCACAAGAGGGGTTGAACACCGAGAGCGGAGCCCGCAAGGAAGAGAACCAGGTGTTCACAGCGCCCGTGGGAAGAGTCTCCTGAGGGGGTTCCATCTTTGATTCGTGTCCCAATCGACAACACCAAGCCGGAGTTCATGTACAAACATGATGCTTTCCATACCCTCAAACTTGGGGCGTATAGGGCTTGGTCTGCAAGTGTTATTTTTCCTCTTGATCAGATGGAACTATTTTGGTGACCATGGGAACTCTGCCAAACGTTGCGCTCGAATCTGTGACCTTCTTGGCTCTGCAATCAGGCTCAAGACAACAAAGAGGTTCAGGCCGGCCTGCTTTCTAGACCATATGGCTCTAACTCAAGAATGGGCGTTGAGAAGAAGACTCACTGGTTTGGCCTTGAGAATTCCGTTGTCGTTTAAGGCCTGGTGCGTGAAGTACATGGCAGTTTGTCGCCAGTCATTTGTGACACTTAGTGCGTGGAGGCTTTACAGGCCTGTTATGTGTCGCTGTGCGGCAGAAAGCTGAGACATTTGCAGGGCTGTCCTGCCTGGGACACATTCGTTTGTGTCTTTCGGGGCGCCCCACTTGGTCAGGGACGACGCTGTGTAAGAACGACGCGCGGAATGTCCACGCCACCATGGAGACGCTGGCAAATACAATCTGACGGAGAGTGGAGCAGGAGCTGGCCACAAGGCCGGGCTTTCAGACGCGAGAAAGGCCGAAAGGAGCTTTCTCTTCCACTTGCTAGGCAACTGGGCAGGAACGCCTTCAGTTTGCTTGAGATGCATTAATTTAAAAGAAACTCCCATGGCAGCATGGCACCCTCATGGGACCCGGTGCTTTGATGGGTGGAAACCTGGGATTTGACTGAGCCACCAGTGAGAGGTTCCTGGAAGACAGCGAAACTGTTGACCAGTACCGCAGACCAGCGGTGTGCTTGCTGGCGGTCTCCTGCAAGCGACACAGACGCCCGACGTCATGTAACCAATGTTTTTGCAGCCAGGCAAAGACGTCTCTCAAGGATAAGGAGCCCAGAACCATGCAGAGACGACAGTCCCCAAGTGGTGGTCACGCTCTGCAGATCTGTCAGCTATGGAGAGGCAGGCGCTCGTTGAGAGGCAACGGGGGTGGGATGGGAAGGGGCAGATCGCCTCTGAACTGTTCATCAGAGCGCAGGATGGCACATAAAGCTGCCTGCCCCAGAGCCCTCATCATTGACAGCGAGGAGAGATTAGGAGTGATCGTCGATAAGCAGAGGGCGGTCCAGGAGTCAACCATCCACACAAAACGCATCCGGCACAGCTCAGCACAGTCCATGTCAATTTTTCGCGCGTCGATGACAAAGTGTGTTCTATCGCAAACGTCGTTGTCTTAGCCTTCGCCACTCCTCTTGCACCACTTCGCTAAACTCTTCGCCGGACGCTGGACAATGGCAAGGCACAACATCTGGGGGGGGACTGTCCCGGCATTGCCTCACGCTCTCACGAGCCATGCCGGAAGTAAAATAGGTCGGATGCAAGAAGGGGCGGGGGTTGGGGTTCCTAGAGGTATTTGAGAGATGTAAATTGAAAGTGGAATTGAAAGAAGCCACTGATTGGATATTCGAGCATTTCAGTACAGTGGACTGCGACGACAAAAAGCACGATTTGTATTTTGCAGACCCAGGAAAGTCCATGCGGTTCCTCTCACACCGGTGCAATAGCTGGGCGCAAATATGTCGCTTTTTGGAAAACAGAAGTTCGTTGGACATTGTCTTATTTGAAGATGAAATCACTGGAGGAACTGTTGTTGCCCCAGATCCTCCTCGCAAAGTGAGTGTATGCTACATTACATTTTTGCTCCTGAAAGAGCATATTTGCTGTGGTAAGATGTGGCTCCCAATTTTCTGTCGCAGACACAAGCTGTCTGTCAGTCATGTGGGCGGCAGTAGCGGGGTAATGGCCAAGATCATCGAGAGATTGCTCTCATCTCCCTGGGTTTTGTAAAACAAAGACAGACGGTGGATATGCCAGCTGAAACTCAAAAATTTCATGGCCGATGCACCGGCCCTACGAAACGCTTTCTCTACCAAGGGGCACAATGGCGTGAAGCCCTGCGCGTTGTGCGGCTCTGTCATTGGTAAAAGATGGAGCGTGCCCACTCGCTGTTCCTTTGATGAAACGAATCCAGATCGTTGGGGACGTGTGGGAGATGCAGATTTGCATTGGTGGGCGGACGAGCTGCAAGATGCTGCAGAGAACTCGTCGGTGGCAAAATTGAAAAAGATGGAGAAGGCGCGAGGCTTGACCTACATTAATTAGCGCTGGTCAAGCCCGGTCGGACATCATTGCGAAATCGCGGGAACTGCGGGGCCTCGACCAGTGCGCAAGACAGATCAATGATGAGGTGCTGCAGATGCATCCTGATTCCAATTTCAATTCACTGGAAACTTGGCCCCATGACAAGTAGTAGTAGTAGTAGTAGTAGTAGTTGTTGTTGTTGTTGTTGTTGTAGTTGTAGTAGTCACTGGCAGCAGGATGACATGGTGTCAGAGCTTGTAAAACAGGCAGGCAAGAAATGAATTCTCGCTGCGTTACAGTCACTCACCCTTTCTCACGTTTATCGCGCCAAGAACTGCCCCTGCCACGAAATCCACACGTCAAGGCCCCACAAAGTGCTGCGCCTGCCATGAAACCTACACATCACGCAGCCCTTTTCTTTCTTTCTTTCTTTCTTTCTTTCTTTCGCAACGGACTCTTCGAAAACGACGAACCAGCAAGACAAATGAATTCAGATGCCACCCACCTGCCTTGCACACGAAGAACACCATCGAGCTGAAAAGAAAGCAGAAAGCAGTTTGTACCAACTTGCGGAATCTCAAAACTACACAGTTTAACAGTCACCAAACAGTTGTGGGTCTGGCGTGCTGGCTTTTGCGGGCCACTGTACTATAAATATAGATATCGCACGGCCCTAAAGATGGTCTGGACAGGTACAACCTGAGGTTCAGCCCCTGCCATCAAGGACCCTTGCCTCAAGGGCCGTCGACAACTTGCGCGGTAGCGTCCGGGGTGCGCAACATGGACTATTAGGAAATGCAAAGCCTCTGCAGGGATAGCATGTGCACGGAACACCTCCGGGAGACAACTCATGCGCACGGACATTACGCAAGTAGGGTGCATGGACATGGCGCCCATACCATCAGGGCGCATATCAAGTACACCGACCTGAAGCAACAAGCGCAACGTTTTGCAATGCCTCAGCGTCCATAAAGAGGGCACGAGGAGGGCTGAATGACCTGAGTACATGACACCAGGATGCTCCATGGCAAACGGGATTTTAAACTTCCATGCCCAACACGCCACAAGCAACAAGTGCTGCAACAATGTATTGCCCGCAAGAACCGCATCATGGGCGCAGGCATCGATGTTATCGAGACCCCGGCGCATTGCATTTAATGACTTTTGGAGATGTGGCTCGCTTTCAGAAATCGGAGGGAAAGCTGCGTTTTGGCATCTTGATGTTGTGTTTGGAAATGTTCGTTGCGAATAGCTTTGGCAGGGCTGTCGTTGGTGAGCCACAGTGTGAGCCACCATATGATACGTGGACACTTGACACCAGGCCGCCTTGCCAGAGCCGGGGTTTGTGCTCAGCTTGCGCGCCTTGAGGTTTCCCGCACACTTGCCACGAGAAGTGATCACCAAGTCCCAAATGCGCACGGCACTACAACGAGAGCGCAGTCTCGAAGAGCACCCGCCCGGGCCCACCAGATTCTGTGAGCCTGCACAATTGAAATGAGAGCACCTCGATCAGCACCCGTCCTTAACAACTACCGCAACATCCCCTAGTGTGGCCACACAGTTTGTGGAATAACTCTACCCCGTTCACAATCCGTGCGACCATTAGAAAGGGCTCGTTGGACCTGGCTTGGTAGCAGTCTAAAATCAAAAGAATGGCTGCTCGGAATGCACGTTGTTTGAGATCCAGGCGTTTAAATCAATGTTGGGCCAGGAATCCTAGGGCATCGCTGGTCTCTCCGCGCCTGAGGCAAGAGTGCGGGGAACCAGCTCCTGGCGGAACGGCACTTTGAGGCGTGATGGGATGCCATCTGCAAGCCTGTGGTGCTTGGATTGGCAGTGGTCCAAGAGGGTGAGTTGGATGGAAGTGTCAGTCCAAAAAGCCTACGGTGATCGACGAAGTCAGAAAATGAACATCCCCTATAGGGTTCCAACATGTTCCAACTACCTAGTTAACTCCTTGCTGATAAGTTATCCATGTTGCATCTAAAAAAGTGTTTTGACATGTGTTGACAATGTTCCCATTTGTTCTATCCCATATCTCATCCCAAGACAGGGTGCCTTTTTGCGAAACCTGCAACTGCCTCTTGAAGGGATCCTGAACGATCCACTGCGACCTTTTCAGAAGGTACAACTGGACCATTCTGGTGCCTACATCAAAGTGTCTCCATTCACCTTCTCAGAGGATGGTAGTGCAACCCATGTTTGCCTCCGTACAATTCCGGAAACAGATCCGGCACAGGAGAATCCCCTGGTGTTGGACCCCCTTCCAGTGAAGTAGACATCCAGGCCCTGGCCAAGGCTTTCCCGGAGATCGGATGTTTTGCTTGGACACCTGAAGTGCCACCATTGGTTTTTCTGACAACTCATGTACCGTTTATGAAGTTCTTTAAACACCAGATGATGAAAACCATTGAAAACCCATCATGAAGTCCTAAACAGTTCGCCTCATGTTCTCTGCCCAAACGATCTGTTTTGGAAGAAACGGATCCTCCACCATCAAGCTCCTTCCCCAAACACCCGCACGGACCCGCACGTGGGAGGCAGCGGGCCAGAGATACTCTGAAGGCTTGGAATGGCTCGAAGATTTGGAGCTCTCAGGTTGGGAAGGGGGCCCCAAAGAGGGGGCCGCCGGGCCGCGGCGCTGTGTCGACTTGGACACGGGGGCGACTTGCGGCGGTTCAGCGGGTAGAAGCTGTGTCGAAGGAATCGGGTTACAACTGTAGTTCACCGCCTATGTTGGGTCTACAGAGTTGATTTGGAAAAAATCGAAGCCATCTGGACCTTCAAGGGGTGTCCTGGGAAAAATCGAAGCCATCTGGACCTGAAAAAGGGATGTCCTGCCTGGAGGTCCTGGATAGTGGGCTGGGGCTTCCAGCCTGGTGACCGGACATGAAGGTGCTGGCATGTAAGCATGATGATCTCAGGGAGTGTCCCACGGAGAAGACCGCCTCAACCACCAGCGGCTAGTCCTGAGGGTGGAAAAACCAGCGACGTCCGCACCATCAGATGGTGGGAGGTCCCCCGAGTCTACTCGTGCTCGGGCTCGAGAGCCCAGGAGCATCCGGAAGGCTCCACTTTTCACAGTTCCACTCCGAAGAGTCGGGGTACTGATGGGTACAATCTCCCAGAGCATCCAGACTGGAAGAGCCGATGAATCTAGCGCAGACACTCCATGTCTGTCATATATGCCGATCAGTTTTCGGGTGGTTTGAGGTGGTTGACTGGGGGTCAATTGATCGGCATCTATGGCAGTCCCATGGAGTGTTTGGGTAGGTTATCTGAAGATGGGGTGTTCATGTGACTCTTCCAGTCCCATGGGTCTGAGAATGGAGAGATTTCGAGTGTTGGCCCCCCAAGGTGGCGAAGACGATGGCCCTGGTGGTCAAAGGGAAAGAAGGGGGGGCGCCATGCGCCAGCTTCCCAAGAAGTCACCTGTTGGTGTATGGTTTGCTTCCAAAGAAGTACACGGTTCATGATAATTCATGATTCATCATAGATTCACGGTCTGGGAAAGGTTTGTCTATCTGGAGGGTTCACTGGACATCACTGGACCAGGTTCTTCACCTTCTGGAGTGTCTTTCAGACCAGGGCACGGCTCGACCCAAAGCCTATTTCAAGCACCTGGACGTTTTTTTGGGGGGTGAAGAGCATTTTGAAGATGTCCGTTCCGGGTATATAAGGAAAACCAGACAGCAGGCAGAACATGTGCATGGTTTGCATCGTTGGAAGATCCAGGTATGATCTCTTGGTGCGGTGTTTGGTGACCAGACTGCCCCCTCCGCTCTTGAGATCTCTCAGAAATCGCCCTGTGGGCTCGGATCTTCTGCCAGGCCCGGCATTGGAGGTGCATTTGGCTTTGTTGGCCAACCGTTGCCAAGCTTCTTTGAAGCGTAGCCGCTGGCGCCCTGGACCCAAGTGGTGAGTCTGATGGGGTGGGGCGATGGTTCAGCATCCAGTTGGAGGAGGAAACGGCTTGGGTTCACCCAATCTTCACCCAATCAAGTTAGGGTAAACGGGTTTAGGAACCCAACGTCACGTTCCTGGTAAACAGAAACACGTTCCTGGCCTTTTGGCGGAACATCCAATACGTCCTGCCGGGCAAGCCGAGCAAGTCATTGAAAAGGACTGTAGTCAGTTGTAAGCATCGGATGTTGACTCGGAGGAAGTCTTGAAACTTCTTGAAACCCGAAAACTGGCTTGCAAGGGTACGTAACACGGTGACACCGGGTTCCATGATTTGTGGGGATATGGATAGTTATGGCACTTTGGGTGTGAACTGACCAGTGCACTAGCAACACCTAGGAAACGGAGTTTGTAAGAGTTTGTAGGTGGCCGTTTTTGGTGCTATTATTGCGTGGGCATGCTTCTAGTGGAACAGGGAGAACGTCGCAAGAAACGGATTTGCACGACTGGGGAATCATCTCGGTCGGTCCAGTTACACCCTCGCAGCCTGACAGCAAACCTGAATTCCTCTACCAGACCAGTGTTGTCAGCTCCTATGTGAGTCTACAACCAGGGTGTACTTCCAAGATCTTCTAAGGTTCCAAGCATAATGTTCAATGTGATTCCAGGACCGATCGAAAGTCCTCTTGGCGCTTGCGCCTGGCAGCCAATCTCTACAAGACCCATCCCATTTGGTCCCAATATCTCCAATAGCTCCGTTTTGAGGGGTCTTTGAGGCGAGCTTGGAGTGTGGTCCCGCCCGTTTGGGTTTCCTCCGTTCGATCTCCATCAACTCACAATAACTCATGGTTTCGTCAACGAAGTTGCCAAGTTGGGATTGAGTTTGGACTGGATTCTTGAATTGGTTTATAGAACGGAAAATCTGCAGGAAACCCGTGTTTTCACCACCAAAACTGTGGCTTTCTGTAGATGTTCCATTAAAACAGTTCTAAGACTGGATTGTTGCCAAAAAGTTGCCAAATGACACAAGTCTCACTCCCTTTCTACACTCCGTTCCGTGTTCGTGATCGATGAGTTGACGACCTGGTGACCTGGTGTATCATGCTCATCACATATCACTCGCTCATCAGAGGTTTTTCAAGGGGGTCTCAAGGCAGAAATCGTGGGAACTCCGTGTTCTTTTGGCTTCGGCGTGTGTCTCTTCCACCCCTAGGGTTCCTGGCCCATCTATCCTCAGGTTCGGTGGGCACCAAGCCTCCCCAAAACCAACCCACCCACCCACCCACCCCAGTCCCACCCACCTTCACCAACAACGGAGGGGGGGGGGACTGGAGGGACGGCTCATCCGCCCAGTAGAACACGTTCTTCAGAGTCTGAGCCCCTCTCCAGGTCCGAGGCGCTCCAGGATGCCGAGGCCGTCCTGTCCCGGGAGCCTTCGCACGCCAAGGCGCGCTACAGGCGCGGCGGCTCCGGGCGCTTGGAAAGCCGCCCGAAGACGGGCGGGAGGTCCCGGCGGCGGTGGGGTCCAAACACTGAGGGGACTGAGGTGGACCGGCGAAAATGAACGGAATAGAGTACCAGACATGGTCAACAACCTACCAGGGTGAAAGGAGCTGCAGATTTTTGACCCACTGAGTTGTGACGCCCCTGTCCGGGGCGAGCGCAGAGCGGTGGGAGAGGGGGTGACCGGAGCAGAGCCTGGGCCCCTCCAAAGAAGTGGCCGAAAGAGAAGGACTCTTTGCAAGGTGGATCCAGCACCAACCTGACCATCCTGATCCCATCTCACTGAGTTGGATGCCACGGCGTTGGGGTATCCTATAAGACGAGCACCAACGTTGGAGCCATCGGCCAAATTGGCAGCCTCCAAGAAGTGTCGAGGTTAAAACATATGTGTACTTTCATCAACGTAAGGGCTCCAAGATTGGAGGTGCATGTTCAACATGAGGTGCTGCAGGACCATTCAGGACAATCAGCTGCATCTTCCCTTTGCTGTTCTATACTCTAATTTAATACATTCTAGATCAATGATGGACCAGGAAAGGACCGGCTGGCTCCATGGATCCTGATCCACCGACGCGTATTTTTCCTCTTTGACGCATTAGTTGCAGGCGTGCCAAAGCCTTGCTGGAGCTGGGCCAATGTGAGGAGGCGACCTTGGCGGTGGAAGAGTTGGATGCCAGCAACGAGGAGGGGCCGAGAGAGGTTCCTTCCGAAGGGTGGTGAGGTGACCAACAGAGGTTATAGGTGACCTGATGTTTTTAGACCTACCATTACTTACTGGGGTACCCAACTGGGATAGTCTGATACCTGGGTTTTCTGGAAGAGCTGCTGAACTGTGTGCAGACTTACACCTGCCAGAAGATGCATGAAGGGGTCTACATGGTCTAAATATGTCTAAATCATAAACAAGCTCGATGTTTCATTGGGTCAAGAGCTGCCTTTGGGAGTGAGGAGAAGATCCACTGCAAAATACTATTTTTTGGGGGGGAAGAGGGGGTCCCCCATAGATCAAAAAAAGGATGGTTTCATGTGCTTACTCTGTCATGCTGGGAGACCTTCTCCCGTCTCGGGAGAGCGGATGCGAACCGCGAACGCCAACGGCTCCCTCAACGGCTCAGCATGATGACGTGGAATGTGCATTGATATCTGGAGGAACTGATCCCCCAAAGGTCATGGTTTCAGATACTCTCCCTGAAGCTATTCGTAACAATGTGGAAAGCCCCCTGTTTGTAGAGGAAAATGGTCTCCGAGGACCGGCTGCCGCTTCCTTTGTTCCAGAGGGAGTGGTCAATGCCTATTGACAGAGGGATTCTCACCGGAGGTTGCCAACATCCCATCTTCGGGTCGGGAACCAGGTGTTGTTGAGACTCCTCCTAGTAAACAGACATCAATAGAGCTAATTGAGAACTTGGGTCAAGGACTTAAGGACGCTTTTTTGTTTGGATGCGCCCCAAGAGAACCTTCAACAATTGCTCTCCCCAGACCATCCATGCGACTGCCATATTGACCGATCAGTTGGGGTAAAATTTGGGGGGTCAATTCTCAATGTAGGTATGAATGTCCTTGACTGGGATAAACCTTCATGGATGACAGCACGCTGCCCGAAACATTTAATCCTCAAGTTCCTTGTTTTTGCTGGGGCCAGTCCCCACATGGAACCAAGACTCGCCTTTTTGATCGGAGTGGTGGTGACACAAGTGTTCAATCAGCGTCCAGTCCAGCTAGATCAGGCCGAACTCATCCTGCTCAAAAACGAGATAGCTCACACCCGCGCTTCGTTGGACGAGTATCATACCATCCAGGCGGAGTGCAAGTGGAACGAGAGGGTTCAGGGTCTCGTCATTCGGGCAAACCTGATTTTTGACGTGTTGATCTTGATCTATTTTCTGGGACGGGTGTGCGGACGAAGGCCAACTACCCCTCCCCTGACACGTCCGAACACCGGAGGTTCTTCGGACAGCGAGGGGCCAGACACGGTTCCTGGGTGTGAGAAGACCATTTCTCGGACTGGTGTGAGAGATCGTCAGTTGGCTTTGGTGAAGTCTAGGCCAACTAGACCCTCAGATCTTAAGTGATGGACGACTACACTCTGAACATCCCGGAGGTGCAGATAGTGGTGAACTACCCCCATGATGGTGGGGGATATTTTTTGGCATCATCGCATACTCCTTCATCGCATTGAAGGAGGAACGTGGCTCACGCTCACTCCCGATCACGACATCCAGAGACACGATCTCACCACCACTCGTCACAGGATCCTTGATCGAGCTGCTCCTTTTCCAGAAGACATTGCTGGGGAAATTTACGCCCACGATGTGATCGGCAAGGCTACATTGGATGGCTACAAGCGTCAAGCAGTCGTCCAAGCGGCTATCCTCGGAGAGGGCAGCGTTGGAGAGAGTGAAGCCTTTGTGTGGTTGGTGACAGAACATGGCCATGAACTTTTTGGCAAGGAGGTTGACCAGGCTTTGCTCCGGAATGGAGCAACAGGTGTGGCCTTTTCGTCAAAGGGTGTCATCATTCTGGACGGAGAGGAGGTCTTTGTCGAGAAGGTCGGTCGCAATGGGATCAATGACTGGCGAAAGCGGAGGGGCCTTGACATGTCCGATGAAAGGCTGCTCGGTGATTTCAAGGACGAGATCGGCAAACGGAACTTGGAGTTGGTGAAGGCGGTTCCGTTGATGAAGGAGCCGACGATTGCTGATTTCTCCATCAGTGGGACACGTGCTGCCAGGGAATTCCTTGAATCCATTGCAGGGGGAGCTCATACGTTGCTGACTTACCACAGCGAATGGCTTCGCAGCTCTGGAGTGGGACGGAAGTCGAGTGCGGCACATGTTCACAGAGGACTGATGGAGTCCTTGCGCCTCATGATCAGCTTTGACCAGCTGGACCCTTCGGCGCTGGCAGTGGGAGAGCACCTTTGCAGATGGGCCATTCAGACAGAACTGGCGGTTGAGCGATGTCCTTCAGCACCGGACTACACCGACTGGATATCGTATCCGGATCCTCTCTGCTACCCGATGGCAGGGCCAACACCACAAAGTTCACCGAGTTCTTGGCACAGCGGCTCAAAGACCGCGCCTCTGTGTGGAAGCAGGAGCGCCTCTATGCTCAGGAACGTCGATTGCAAAGAGGCAAAGGCGGAGGCACAAATGATGATGACGAAGGAGACGGAGCCAAAGGACCTGGCAAGAGCAAGAAGAAGAAGAAGAAGAAGAAGAGTGGCGGTGGCGCTCCAGCAGAAGGCGCCGCCGCTGCATCCAAGTGAGGGCGACATGGAGTTAGATGCCACGGGGGCGATTGGCCCTCCTGACTCTGAGGACGTGGCGGATGCATGGTTTGAATTCAGTGTGCGGCGGCCATCACCCCATCGACGGCACGGAGATCCTTTTCCTTTGCCGAGGTTGGGGAAGCAATCGGCCGGCAGCCAGCACCATTTATCGCCCACACGGATGATTGACCGGGCTGTGAAGTCGTTGAATCAGCTCGTTTAATCTGGGGCTGTTTTTACAGAGACACCCTCGAGTTCCTTGCCTCTGACAGATGTACAGCGTTGGGTGATGGAGGACATCTCTCGACGAGTCGAAGCGATGGGGCCATGTCCGGATGACTTGACAGAGGATCTGGCCGTGAAGGAGCTTGGGAAGGGAGCAAACCTGTATGAGCAGGCGGCCGACAACTATAACCTTGCCGAATTCGACATTGACAAGATCAAGATCCTGAAGCGGAAGCTAGACCCGGCACTGGCCAGGGAACTTGCTCCTCCCGAAGTCCAGGGGTTTTTGGACAACTTTGACACGCTGATCCAGCGACCGGTGGGTGAACTCGACGCCTTAGCGTCCTCTGGAACTTTAGTCGAACCCTATTGGGACCCAAAACTGAAGAGAAGTCTGGGTAAGAGGAAACAACTTTACAAAGCGCTGTATGATTCAAACCTTTTGACTTTTGTCCGCAGGAGGAAAGCTCGCGTCGGTTTTTTCACTGTCAAAAAGAAGGACTCCTGGATTAGACTGATACTTGACGCAAGGCAGAGCAATGCGTGTCACAGATGCCCACCTCAGGCAAAGCTTGGGACCCCAGCTGGCTTAGCATCCATCGATCTTTCTCACAGAACACTGGAGAGCAGAGGTTTTTCTTTTGTGGACAGCGAAGATGGTTTGCCTACTGCCATAACAGGTGATGTAGGAGACTGTTTTTACAACTTTGTCATACCGGCTGCTTCAGAGTGGTTTTGCACAGATGATGTTTTTTTCAATCGATGACATACATGCCATGGGGATTCAGATCGAGCAAGTGTTCGACAGCAGAGCTGGGGGATGGACAACAGTGGATACGGGAGAGAAACTCTACCCCGCTTTCTATGGTATGCCTATGGGCTGGTCATGGTCTCTATGGATAGCCAATGAAATCATCATTTGTCCTGGTCGCAAGAATGTTTGGTTCGTGACAAACATCCTCCACCTATTCTTCAACCTGGTAAACCGGCTATTGGAGTCTATGTGGACAACGTTGTGGTGATGGGGGGGCTCGGAGCAAGATGCACAAACCACTATGGCCAAGATTGCTGATAGGTTCCGTACTCTCAACATACCTTTTGAAGTGGATCAACAACATCGGGAACAACTGGTGGAAGTACTGGGGTTGGAATTTTTCATGGGGACTGATGTACTGGTTACAAACAAGCGGCGGAGAGTGTGGCGAGTTTGGATGGCAATCGGTGCTGTGTTACATAGGAAGCGAGTTCATGGTAAGTTCATCCAGATTCTCCTAGGCCACATCAACCATCTTTTCCAACTCTGTCGACCTGCGCTGTCCTCCCTTTCGGCATGTTATCGTTTTGTTGCAGACCACTCGCACCACAGATATCCTCTCTGGCCTGGTGTGAGACGAGAGCTCGACACAGTCAGAGGTTTGATATTCTTGGTAGAGTTCAACATGAGCTCCCCTCTGCTCCGTGAGGTTTACGTGGGTGATTCATCTGATAAAGGTTACGCACTCATGGTTACAGATGCAGCAGAAGCAGAGGTGAGACCAATGTTAGCTTTCCGGGAACGGTGGCGTTTTATTAGCAGTTGGGATGCTGGTTCAACCGCGACGGAAACCTTTTTTGATGCAGAAGACCCAGCAGATGACAGTTTTGAGCCTATTTTTTACGGTAGCAAGCCAGAAGCAGGTGTTGGTTGTCGAACTCAGTTTGGCGTTGAACTCAAAGCCAAATATGAACAGCAATCCAACAGCGGCCAGCTAGAGGCCAAACGGCGAAGGCTTTTTTGGAAAGCGAGCTCCTGACAAAGAGACGTGGATCCAAGGTCCCCGCCTCGTTCCTGTGCCTGAGACTTTCATGGCACCGCAGCGGTGGAGCCTCCTTGTGTCGGCTGCTTGGAAGCGACCCGAGGAACATATCAACATCAAAGAAGCCAGGGTTTGCCTGATGAGTTTAAGACGCATTTGTAGGACAACTGCCAATCTAGGATCTACTGCTCTTACACTGACTGATAATTTGGTTAGCGCTTTGGTTTTCGAACGGGGCCGCAGCAGTTCACATGGATTGAATGGGCTTTGCAAAAGAGCAGCAGCATACCAGATCGCCTGCAGAATCCAATGGCGGCTTCGCCACATCCCATCCGAGATGAATGTCTCAGACGGACCGTCCCGTCGCTGGGGACCAGATGAGCCTGTGAGGAAGTCAAAACCTTCAGGTGTGCGATTGCCTGAGGAAGGCGACTTGCAGAGAAGAAGAAGAGTAGGTTTGGAAACAATGGCTGGACATTTTCCTGCGCACTCAGAAGAGATTGTGAATGAACCCTCATCGTCTTCAACTGTAAGAGTCAGCTCTACTCAGACAACTTCCCCTCCGAAGTTTTTCTTGAGCTTTTTTTCCGGCAGCGCAAGACTGACACGGGCTATGAAGGGTCAAAACTTCAGGGTGCTCCCAGATTTTGAAGTTTCAAAAGGCACAGAGTTTGATCTTTTGGACCCCTTAGTTCAACAAGTCATTGTCAGCTGGATGAAGCAAGGCCGGATTTGGATGATTCACTTAGGAACTCCGTGCACAGTGTGGAGTCGTGCCCGTCACAATGTGAAGAACTGGAGGAGAGCAAGGGACAAAGAAGCTAAGGGAGTGGCTTGCGCTATTTTTACAGCGGTGGTGGTTCGGTTGGCTCTTTCCTTGGGAATCAAGTTCACACTGGAAAACCCCCAATCAAGTAGACTCTGGAACTTCGAACCCATTGCCCAGATCTTCACGGACAAACGAGTGCACTTCTTTACATTTCACATGTGTGCGTATGGGACCCCGCACAAAAAAGGCACATCAATCCTGACCAACGTTGCTGAGCTCACAACTTTGGTGAAAAGCAGTGCGCAGGTGACCACAAGCATGAACAACCTAGAGGAACAGAGAGAGTTTGCGTTGATGGAACCTTGGTGACCCGCAACAAGACCGTTGGTGCGGGAGCATACCCTTTATGCCTGTGCAATGATTGGGCCCAGGCATGTAGGCAGGTGGCTCCCCCCGGTGCTTTTGGCAAATCGAACTGGCACGCGTGCAACCAGTTCCTCCTTGACCTATGGGATGCCGTCGACCAGAATGGAAGGAAGAGTGCAAAACTTTTCTCTAGAGATGATCAACAGCCTGGCGAAAAGGAGAACCCCAATGTCATCTTTGCCAAGCGGTACATCCAGACGCACCCCGTCATCTTCGGCCAGCATTCCAACGCCGAAGCAGATAGGATCAGACGGAAGCACCGGCAGAAAAGTCAGAAGGGCCATCGTGAAGAGGAAAGACCTGGCTGGCAAGGATTTGCCAGCACACATGCGGTTGAGAGCGCAAAAGGTTTCACAGCAAACTCTCAACCGCTACCTTACAAGCATACATGAGTTCGAAAGGTGGGTGGCAGGCAAGAAAGTCAAGCTGACAACTTCAAATTTGGACCGACAGGTGACCTTGTTTTTGACACACCTCCAAGAGGATCTGGATAGTGAAGTTTCGGCGGGCACCTACCTGGTCTATGGGTTGCAACTTTTGCGATGCACAGGTAACAAGTCTGACTTCTTGACCGAGAGTAAGGAGGCTTTGAAAGGGTGGCGCAAGAGGCGGCCTGGCAACATGCGGTTGCCAGTTCCTGAGGAGTTTGTGTATGACCTAGCGACTTTGGCTCTGGACCAGAACCGAGTCGACCTTGCCATGCTGCTGACTGTTCAGATGGACGCCTATCTTAGACCTTCTGAAGCTCTGGACTTGACTAAGGCTCACTTGGCTCGACCCAATGGTAGACGATACCCTCTTTGGGGATTGGTTGTAGCCCCAGCTGACTTGGGAGATCAAACAAAAACGGGGACCTCAGATGATTCAGTTCTCTTAGGCGACACGACGCACAACAAATGGTTAGGACCTGCTTTCACCACCTTTGTGAACTCGGTGCCAGATTCACTTTTTGGTTCCATCAACCTTGCCTCGTACGAAAAATGGCTACAGTCTGCCTGCCAGCAATTACAGTACAAAACCACTTGTGTCATGCCACACGTCCTGCGGCATACGGGAGCCTCCAACGATGTTTACCACAAACGTCGAAGTCTGCTCGATGTGCAACGGCGAGGACGATGGAAGGCCAAGTCCTCTGTTTCCAGGTACGAAAAACACGCCCTGCTTGTTCAAAGGTGGGGACAGGCATCTGTTGGACGTCATGCTGACAGCCACCAGAGATCTCAGGACTTCCCAGCAAAGTTGCTTCGCGCCCTGCGATTCAACGGAGGACCCAGACCATGAAGTGGAAACGGAAGTGCAGTTTGACAAACCTTTTTTAGCAAATGGCAAGTTAATGAAACCAAAAATGGACCAGCACAGCTGTCGCAGAACGCGACTTCAGGGTCCGTGGATTTCAGGCATTTACATTTAACAAAGCTGAGTCTCAAAAAAGATGAGGCAAGCTGGGCAGCTCCTTGCGGTGAAGACAGTTGAGGTTTGTGAATGTCCTTGACTGGGATAAACCTTCATGGATGACAGCACGCTGCCCGAAACATTTAATCCTCAAGTTCCTTGTTTTTGCCCCGTGGCCAGCCGCAAGCCTTGGGAAGTGCAGTTTGACAAACCTTTTTTAGCAAATGGCAAGTTAATGAAACCAAAAATGGACCAGTACAGCTGTCGCAGAACGCGACTTCAGGGTCCGTGGATTTCAGGCATTTACATTTAACAAAGCTGAGTCTCAAAAAAGATGAGGCAAGCTGGGCAGCTCCTTGCGGTGAAGACAGTTGAGGTTTGAATATATCCCAGACACTCCATGTATGCCATATATGCCTACATTGGGGTGGTTTTGGGGGTCAATGTAGGCATATATGGCATACATGGAGTGTCTGGGATATGCCAGTCCCGTGGAATGTCTGGGATAAAAAACGGCTGGTTTGTGGAATATCCCTCCGTCACCTTTGCGCATTGAGGTGCGCTCTGCCATTGGTCCACAGATGCGTTTGACATGCCATTGGTCATCGCCAACAAGAGAGATGACCCTCCCTCAATTCCAACATACAAGTGGAACATTAGCTTGACCATCACCCTTCGCATTTTTGGTCCAATGTGACCAAACCCCTTGGTTTTGGCGGCTTGTATCGGTGATTCTACCCAAAAAAAGAAACGATCTGGAGTCAATCCCCAAACCTCGAGAAGATGTATACCAGCACCGTCATGTCGGGGTCTCCCATAGACTACCCTACACTACTTAGGGATCTCCATCAAACACCCCTTTGACGGTCCAGGTATGTTTTCCCAGTTCCTGGGAGCCACAAATCCCGGAGTCTTCCACTTCCAGGACGTCGCCGAACTCCTCCGCCGCCTCGCCGCGCCGGCCGAACGCCGCCCCGCGGCCGCGGGACACGCCTCGACGGTGGAGACGGTGGAGGCGGAGACCACAGAGCCTTGGTGGTAGCAGCTGGAAGATGTTTGGAGTTTGGTTGAATCATCCCCACCAGGGAATGTATTGATAGGTGGACCGTTGGCGCCCCCTCAAAACATGTTTCATGTTGAATATATATATATATATATACTTGTTATATGCTATTTATTGTCCATGATCTATTATCCATGTCCTATATATGTTAATCATACTGTTTATCCATGGTCTGTCATCGGGGTGAATCCCGAAAGGAGTGAATGGGGTTCTTCGCCCGGTTGACCGGCGCAAATCCCAGGAGCTGGTCCGGGGGCGGCACACCGTCGTGGAGCGGCAGGTGGAAGAGGCGCGGACCGGGCGCGCCCTTCGGTGCCAATGGATCCGGAGATATCATGAGGATATGCGGGCTTTCGAGCTTGGCTTTCAGGAATTCCATGGAATTGCCGACCTATCATTACATTATGTATACATATTAGTTAAAAATTGTATTGGATTTTGTTTTATATCTATTGACCTTTCGTTTTGTACCGTAAATATACATATATCATATGCATATATCCTTGGGCCAAAGACATCATCACGAGCTGGTCGGCCATGCGTTTACGATCAGTCCATCCGGACCCTTCCGTCTCAGTGTGGATCCCGTTCCAGCAGAAGAAAAGTCCAGTATCTACCCGTTAGCTGTCCAAGACCATTAAACACATGGTTGACCTGGTGTTGTAGTGTAAAATCATGAGGGTTAGCAAATGGTCAACGCATTTAAAAACATTAATGGTGGGCCAGGAATCCTAGGGTTCTACAGAGACACGAAGAAGACCATGAAGAAATTGAACACCTTCTCATCCTCTTATTGTCATGTCTCATCTTGGACTGCATAGGGAGGCTCGTCCAGTGCTAACCAACTGAAAATAGTACCTGCCATATAGTAGCTCCACTAAATAGAGGCAAAGAATGCATTGTTGGACCTCTACTGTAGTAGTTTAACACTGATTCAGATAATAGGCAGTTTCATGTCGGAAGGGTTTTCAGTCCACCTCCAGTGAGTGGATGAGACAGGAGCACCGACTACCTCCTTCCTCCGTTGGGGAACCCCACCCAACTCGGAACTGCTGGTGGAGATGGTGCATCCACTGCTGCAGGATGCAGAGGCCAAACGCCTCTGGAAGGAAGCTGAGAAGGCTTGGGCGCGCCAAGACTACAGGTGGGGAGCCACGGGAGCCTGCCGGGGACGTGTTGGAGCAGTTCAGGTGCTACTGAGAGTCACTCTGTCACTCCCTGATTTCAGGAATATGAACCAGTAGATGTTCACACTTTGATTAATATAGACCCACCACAACATCTACAGCTGCTGCTGTTCATGTATCATGTTGCTTTTCTTGGGAGAGTTCGAAAACCCACGCGAGTTCACCCTACCCTTTGCTCGTGGTCCGAATGTCATCACCGAGTTGATCGAGTGTGGATCCACAAGGGCCAAAGCTCATGTTGTGACAACATTCCAGCAGTTCCATCGTCGAAATGATGTTGAGTCCCATCCAGGGGCCGTGGATGTGACGTTCGGGCACTTGCACTCCTTCCTCCGTTCGGAACCGGCGCCCAACTCCGAGCTGCTGATGGTTGTGGATCTTGTGAGAACAAAACCATTTCCCGGACAAGCCCACGCGGCGGCACTGAATCACCCTCCCCCATCATAGACACTGACTCATGTAGCAGATAGGCCATATGTGCAGTTTCATGGATCATGTGGGATCTATGTAAACAGTAGTTTCATAGGACATCTGGCACATGGCACAGGTCGTCGCAGAGCTGTTCTAACTTGATTGTTTAAAACATCGTATTTTTTTCCGTGTTTGCGTGTGCCAACAAACATGTCAACCACTGCCGAACCACACTCCAAGACCCTGATTTGGATCTCTTGCGTCAGTTGGAGGAGACTGAGAAGCCAGGTTTTCTCGTCTTTTTCAGCAGCTGGTATCTTTGTTCTGTTGTGTAAGAGGATGTTGGCTCATCTAGGCTCCAGAACGTCTCGTCCGCCAGGCGTGCGATCAGCTTCGCTGAGGGTGCGCAGTTGGAGCTGGAATGGTTGCGTGCTGAGGCACACCGGCCGTGGTGAGAACAGGCATTGTATGACTTAAGGTATAGGTGTCTTCCTTGGTGTATTTACACTTTACCAAACTGTGTTAACCATGCTGTTGTTCTAGGTTTTACCGAAAAAGTCCTTGGGTTCTATGTGCGTTGGTTGCCTGTCGGCTCATTTGGTTCCTTTCTTCAACTGCTCATGGAAGAAATCTGAAAATCCACCGCCCAATCAGCCCAAAGCGGTCCCTCTACCAGTTGATGCAAGAGTTCTTCCTTCACGAGGAAGTTCTTGCGATCTGTTCAGGAATTCGGCTTTTTGTGGTGTGATGTTGAATCGAAGCTTTTGGTGAGGTATTCGCAACTGCCATGATGCTGTAGATATATATCATCTTCGGGGGACCTAAACCAAAAGGACAGTCATGCGCCCATCCCTAAGGGATTCACAGACCCTCTGAGAAGATGATTGGAGACATGCAGGTTTGGAGGATCCAGTCGTACCTTCTGCCAAGGTGGCAGTGGATCCCTACGGCATGACATCTTCTGCTCCTGCAACCGCAGGAGCAACGGGAGAAAGCCCGCCCACTCGCACAGCAACTGCTAGCAGTGCACGTGATGCAGGCAGAAGTGGGGAATCGCAAGAGGCTTTTAGACTCTTCTGGGTGGAAACCTGTACGAGTTTTGTGCCTTTTGTTGACAGAAGATAAAGCCATTCTTTCTAGATCGTTTCCTCTACGCATTGAAGGGATCTTATTTATGATGCCTCGCCATTGATCAGTCAGCTATTATCAAACGAACATGCACTTTGGAGGGTCACTGTAGTTCAAAAGTGGAAAAACAAAAACTAAACCAACAAAGACACCCACGGCCACCTTGTTCCGGTCTTCCTTCCAAGCCACCCCGACCTGGGTTTTCCTAACAAGATGCCACGTCCCCATCTTCTCCGGGCTCCACCGGGCCCAAAACAAAGCCGCTCTCCGCCCGACCGGCCCGAACCATCCGTCAGGTGCGCTGCCACGTGGCTCTGCGGGACTTCGCCACGGCACGCGGGTGGGCCCTGAGAGCCCTCCAGTTCCACCGCCACGAGGATCTCGTCGGTTCGACCGGTCGCTACGGATCGGCCACGGATCGGAGGATCTGGCCTGCGTGCGAGCACGAAGCTTCGTGCTGTGTGGTGAGGGAGTGCTGAGAGGAAGTCTTTCCAAAAGAGAATATGAAAGAGTCGAGAATTGCTGGGTCAGTGATGCACATTGACTGTTGGTATCAACTCTTAGCAACTCTTTTTTGGGGGTCTGAGTCGACTCACAGCAGGAGGACGGCATTCGTGTCGTGTCGTGTCGTGTGAAGTCGACCGAAGCTTGTACCAGCTAGACCTTCAGACTCCTGGCGCGACCGAAGAAACGAGGCGGTTCGCTGCGCTTCGCTTCTTCGTTTCTTCGGTTCGGACCGGGATCGAACGAGGCGAAGGGAAGGAAGGAACGGGAGAGGGCCCCTCGAGGACACCGGTGGATCGTGGAAGGATGGATTCGATTCGAATCCATCCTTCCAGGTTCGGGGCCGAAGCTGAACTGTTCCCTCTTGGAAGATGGAGAACAAAAAGAAGCGCTGGCGTTTTCCACTTGGCGTCCGCCTTTTAAGAGATGTGCTTCAGGTTTTGGTGCATGTTCAACTTTAATTTGGGATGATTGAACTCACTAACTCATATGGATATGGTCAAAACCAGGGGAACCCTGGTTTTCTCCCACCGAACAGAAGAGACTTCGGAAGACATGGTCAGGCTGGCGGGGGTCAACCAGGCTCTTGGATGATTAAACCCACTATATACATCTACCTAGAACCTGAGTGACCTCTATGAAATGGACCACCAACCACCCGAAATATGTTGGTTTTCTATGTTTTTCCTATCAAAACAGAGGTCATGTTTGGGTTCCAGGTATATATACTGCATATAGATTTGTGACTTAAAACCACCGGCGGCTTTGGTCTTTTGGACCGGGCGTCTTCCCCCTGAGTTCAGCTGAGGGTGGAGAGAGGTCAATTTCACCCAAGAGAATCAAGGACCCTTGAAAGATGCAGGGTGTGAAGGTCCAAACCCCTGGGTTTGATAGGAGGGTTCAACCCCTTGATAGGAGGGTCCAAACATGGTTAGGGCATATGAATAGAATCGAGAAACCAAGGCAACTGGCAGGATGTTGAGGTTCCAAAGACGGGTTCCACGACCAGTTCCGATCCCGGCACCAGTTCAGAAATATCATAGACCTACCTTGGGGCGTGGTTGTTGAAACTCAGGGGTCCATGTAGGTAAATAGTCCAGTCCCATTCCAGTCCCATGGCATCTTTGGGGTATAGGATATCACTCGTGCGAGCCATGTCTCCACTGAATGCCCCCCCCCTCACCGCTCCGCTCCAGTCCATCGGCTCCCTAGGAGGAACGGCTCCAAGAGACCTTCGGCATGGCCCACGCCTTGAGGACGACACGACCAACGACACGTCCTTCGAAGACCACGACTTCCGTCGCGGCCGTCCGCCGCTTTCTTCGGGGTTCGCGTCTGCGGACGGTCCTTCCTCCCAAGCTCATGGTGGTGGAAGTGGATGGCATGGACGCCCTCCCTACAGATAGATAGACCAGGTTCTGAAGACGAAACAGGGTGGTGCCATGTGCCGATGTCGCCATCTTTGTCGCAGGGAGTGTCCTTGTCTCGCTAAGTGAATGAGCCGTGCAACGGGTCACTAAGCATGATGCTTGTTTTGACCTTGTCGGTCAAGCGATGTCAACAAACTGAGCTCAGGACAAGTAGTGCTGAATGCAACGAGTAGTTGGTTAGTTCATACATGTTCATACACTTAACCCTGTGGCCGGGTGTTGTCCTCCTGTTGTCCTCCTAGCTGTCCTCTGGCCGCACTGGCGAATCCTGTGTGTCCTCCTTTGGTCCTTTCGGTGTCCTTCTGCTGTCCTCTGGCCGCGCTCTGTCCTCCATGTGCTCCCCAAACAATTTAGTGGCCTTGTTTGGGTCTGGTTGCCCGGGCCTTGTTTGGATCTGGCTGTCCGGCTTGGCCCCGCCGTTGGAGATCATCCGAAGGTCTTCTGGTGACAGATCCCTTCGTGGTTACACATGTCACGTCGGGAAGCAAGAGCTATTATAGAACTAGTGTGTTCGATTATTTCTATGCTTACATGCCATTCCCAAGTAAGACAGACGTGGACACACCAACATTGGAATCCAAGCAGATGACCCCCAAAACATGTACTGCTGAGACTGTTTGGGGTCTATGCTTACATAATGTTTCTATGTGTTTTCTCGGTTCCTCAAGCAAATCCAAGAATAGCTCCAAACATGTGGCTTTTCATTCAGTCAGCCGTGCCAGGAGCTCCGCCCCACTGCTGGAGACTATGGAAGCTGTAGCGATGGGAGTTGAAGCTTTGCCGTCGCCCCAGTGCGGGCGGGGAGGAATGGCAGGGACTTTCTAAGAGCGATGGCCTCCAACCTAGAAACGATGGCCTCCACCGAATTAAGTGTACTCTCAGGTCCAACATGCCCGACATAGAGCTCTGCAAAAAACATCAAACAACTACGTTGCTGAACTACTCACGCCATGTGCAGAACCCTGGTGTGCAGAACCAAGGCGACAGGTGGCGGACACCGTGTGGTCTAAAAGCCGCACAACAGAACTCATGGTAATGACTGATAGATACTGAGTATCGCTCAAGGTTTCCTGCAAAGGTTTAAGCAAAGCACGAAACGAAACCAAATCTGGGCAAAAAACAATTCAATTTTGTGGTGCTTCAGCAAGAGATGCGCAAGGTGCACCTGAGGCAGGCACAAGAGAGGTTGTTGAAGAAGGATTTTCGCGTTCTTGCTTCAATTCCTTTTTTTCAATCACACACTCCGACTCAAAAGCATTTCATGTGGAAACTGCCTGTTTGGCTGAGTGACTCGGACTGTCATGTCTTTCAAGCACACCAAGAATGTCCAGCAGTCACCACCAACTTATCAGCTTCTCAGCTTCTCAGCTCATCCAGCCTCACTCAGACACTCCTTCTCCGCACCGCTGGAGCCGCACCTCAAGAGTTTGGAGCAGGTCGCTCGGGAGCCGCGGCGACCGTCGGTCCGCGGCGCCTTCGCCCCCGCGCGTCCGTTCGTTCGGGGCCGTCGGGTCCGCGGGCGGTATGGGATCGCAGGATGGTCTCGGACCGTGGTGGTTTGGGTGGATCGAAGCCGATTCCGAAGAGTCTGTCCGTGGTGGTTTTGGCGGTCCGGTGCCGAAAGAAGGAGTTGAATGTCTTGGATGTCTTGGAGTAGTTTGGTTGGCACAAGCACTATTTGCATGTATTTATCTCTACTTGAGGTGTCATTGAGTATTTCACCTCACATAGTTGAATTGAATATTTGAAAATACTGTGAATGTTTCTCACCTGAAAAAAAAAGAAAACACTGCGGCAAGACCTCACCAGGCTGACTTTTGCAGCCCCTTGCGTGCGGCGCTGCTGGCGCGCCGTGCCCAGTTGGGGCGAGGAGCGGAGGCCGAGGTAGGCCTGGAAGTGGGTGGAGTGAACTGGGTGAATCCAGTTTCAGGAAATATTCTTTGGGGAGGGGTTGCTTGGGAAGTTACGCGAGTCCCTAAAACAACAGCTAAATCAGCAACTTCCAAGTTGCTAGGACGTCCACAGGCCTTCCTTCTTCTGCGTTTGCGCAAGCGTTGATGTCTTCCCAGCTCCGCCCCACTCGGCCATGGTGAGCAAGGAATCGACCGAACCCGCGCCCCGCGCACGGACAGCGCCACGGCATCCGGCCGTGGATGTCGCCAAGCCACATCCGCCAGGCGGATGCACGCCGTGCGCTGATGTTGGATGCCAACTGCCGAGACGCACAGGCGAGGGTTGGACTGATTGCCTGGATTGGAATGGATGGGATGAATTATACAAAAATATAGGAACCTGTTCAAAGAATGTTTGACATGTCCCTGAAACATCCCGAAATTCTATTTATAGCATGTTGGTAGATATTGTTCAATTTATATAATTGACAATCATTTGTAGCCTTTTTTCATAAAGAGTTTCAAGATTGAAAATGATCAATATCCAGATAGATGTATGGATGGATCCATTCTTCCCAGACCTGTTGATATTATATTTCTTATTTCCATCAAAGATTGAGAATTGTGTTAATACAAACCCTCCAAAAGATTTCTATATTCCACCTAAGAATCTCATCCTCTTTCGGAGGAAATACTTCGAAGACATAAACAAGGATACAATAATGAATAACGACAATGAAAAATACATTCAAAATAAACATTATGATATTGTATGTTCATTAAATTGAAAAAAAAATATAAATAATATATTAATAAATATATAATGATTTACATGTAAAATATAGTTATTCTATTGTTGATTATATTTAAATTACAATATATTTAATGGTAAATAATAATATAATATATATTATTATAATTGATTTGTATTTTAATGATAATTGATCTGTTTAAAATATAGAATTAATTGGTGATTTGGAAATATTTGAATTGAATAATTTGATGATGAAATTAATTCGGATTGATATTCTATATTTATTATTATATATAAATTATAATTTGAATTATTTTTTGGAATTAAAAAAAAATCGATAAATATATTTTATTAGTATAAATGTATTTAATATTTAGATATATTGAATATAATATGTAAGGAATTGAATTTAAAATAGAATATAATTGTATTTGTTTGGAATTATTTAAATGAATTAAAGATTTATATAAAATGGTGTTTTTTTTGTGGTCGTAGAGGGGCGACGTTAAATTTCCGGATTTAATTGAAATTAATTG